GTATTGAGGTCCCCCACTACTATTGTATTAGTGTTTATATGGTTCATGTCCATTAGTATTTGTTTTATATAGTTGGGTGCACTAGTGTATGGTGCATAGATATTTATGATTGTCATCTCTTCCTCTTGGATTGTTCCCTTTACAAGGATATAATGTCATTGTTTGTCTCTCTTGATCAGTGTGGGTTTGAAATCCACTTGATCTGCAAAGAGGATAGCTACTTCTGCTTTTTTTCGGGTTCCTGTCACATGGAGTATTGTTTTCCACCCTTTAACTTTCAGTCTGAGTTTCTTTTTGAATTAAATGTGTTTCTTGTATGCAGCATATTGTTGGATCTTGCTTCTTGATCCATTCTGTCAGTCTATTTCTTTTGACTGGTGAGTTGAGACCATTAACATTGATGGTTATAACTGATACGTATTGAGTTATCAATGTCATGACCTTTTCTTTTTGTTTGATCCTCCCCCTTTGCTTTTAATTTCTTGTGCCCAGTGGATTCACTCTGCTGGGCTTCCTTGGGGTTGTGTTCCTCATTGTCTTTTCCTAGGATTTTGTCTAAAATTTTCTGCAGTGCTGGTTTGGTATTCATGAAGTTCCTAAGGTGCTCTTTGTTGTGAAAGTATCTTATTTCGCCATTAATTTTGAAAGAGTTTTGCAGGGTACATCAATCTGGGTTGGAAGTTGTTTTCCTTTAGGCCTTGAAACATCACCCCAAGCTCTTCTTGCCTTGAGGGTTTGCAGTGAGAAGTCTGCTGTGATTCTGATGGATTTTCCTTTGTATGTGATTTGTTTCTTTTCTCTAACTACTTGTAGAATTTTGTTCTTCTGTTGGTTTTCTAGAATCTTAACAATTGTATGCCTATGTGTAGATTTTTTTGGATCAAGGCTAGTTGCAGTCCTATATGCCTCACTTAGCTGTATGTCAAATTCTTTTCCCCTGCTTGGGAAGTTTTCTGCCATCACTTCTGTAAAGCTTTTTTTTTTATGTCATCTGCACTCTCTCCTGTTTTTTCATTGACTCCAATCAGTCTTATGTAATTTTTCTTTGGATCATCTAGCAGCTGCTGGATTGATTTCTTGTGGTCCCTTAAAATTTTAAAGAATTTTTTCTTTTCCTGGTCACTAATTGCAATCACATGTTCTATATCTGAAATTGTCCTCACATTGGCACATTCTGCTGCATAGACTGTCAATGGAGTTTTTAATCTCCTGGGAATCTGTTTGCATCTGTTTTATGGATTCCACTTGTTTCCTATGTTGGCATTCCATCATGTTCCTCAGCTCCTCTATTTTTTTTTATCTGTATCCTCTCTAGATTAATCATGTCTTGCACTATGGGCACAATCTTTGCTGTTATGTAAGAAATCATTTCTGATTACACTTTTTCCAGATCCTCTTTTGTTGCTAGTTCAGGGAGTCCAGATGGTTAAGTATCAGAGTGTTCCATCTCGTTTCCCTTTGAGGTTGCTGTAGGTGATCTGGAAGTCTGGATCTGCGGCTTGTTTACCTGTCTTCTCATTTTGACACAGGGGTGTGGCTTGTTCCTGGTGCCCTCGCGGCTCACCTCCTCTGTGCTGGGAGCCATGGCACGCCTACCTGGAAGCCTCCTCTATGCTGGGAGCTGCGGCACACCTACCCGGAAGCCTCCCCTGGGATCTGTGGGGCATTGACCTGGAACTCTCCTCTGGGCTGGGAGCTGTGGCACGCCAACCTGGAGGCCTCCTCTGTACTGGGAGCCACAGCACACCTACCTGAAAGCCTCTATGCTGGGAACCATGGCATGCCTACCCAGAAGCCTCCTCCTGCCTGGGAGCTGTGGCACGCCGACCCGGAAGCCTCCTCTTGCCTGGGAGCCATGGCGCGTGAACATGGAAATCTCCTCTGGGCTGGGAGCTGTGACATGCCTACCCAGAAGCCTCTGCTTTAAGGTTTCAAGCAGTTATTTGTTCAGAAAAGGACAGAAGTTCAATTCCCAGCAACATTCCCAGCAAAGACAGTGGTTTTTTTTTAAAGTGGGATGCACATCCTCATGTTTCTGTAGCCCTTCTCCAGACACTAGTGGCTCTGGAAAGCAAGTGCACAGAGGATGGGGTTCACAGTGATGGCACAGCAGGCTGGGCACCCCCTCTGGCAGCAGCATTCGAGTACCGGGGTAGTGTGTGGGCACTGCCATTCTCCCAGCCCCCAGAAGACTTTAGAGATCAGTGCGCAGCCAGGTGACCAAGGACACAGAACTCAGTGTCGCCCTATTGGAGATTTCTCCTTGGGTGAAGCAGTGTATTTTATGACTCTCATTTACCTCTGCTGACCCTGGAGTAGATTAGAAGTAACATACTGTTTCAAGATTTTGCTTTGTAAAATTGTCAGATGGTTCAAAAAATGAGTGTTTCAGAAAACTCTAGTTCTAACTAAAGGAAGACAAAAAATGCAATCATGGAAAATATTAAAATATTAATGGTTCATACTCATGCCAGAGAGCCAGGGACAGGCTGGAAGGCAGAGGACCTAACTCTGGGGGCCACCCGAGGGTGCCTCACAAGGGATGTGGCAGCCTGCTCTTCAGGAGCAACAGCTGGCACCCACCCTGCCCTGGTCAGCTCTTCGGCAAGCCGGCTGGAACCAGGGCCCAGTGCCTCAGCAACTTAGCAAGACCCAGTCTCAAAATAAAGCGAGAAGGGCTGGGGGTATAGCTCAGTACATGGGCCCTGGGTTTAGACCTCAGCACCACATACACAGCACAAAAAAAAGCCTGCAAATGCCACTCTTCTACACACTTAGCTATCCATAGTCAAAAAAGGTAAGCTGGAAATTAACAGAACTAAGTTCTGATGGTTCAAAGTTCCTGACCAGCTATGTGGCATAATCTGCCCACCTACATTTTAGTTTGATTAGTTTGTAACTGCGTAGCCTACAAACTCACTATGGAAAACATCCATTGAGCATATCTTGAAAACAATCAAGCAGGAAAATTATGGAGATCTGATTCATTTACATGGTCCCCAGGGTCATAAAGAATTCACTTGTCAAAAACAGGCTTGTGAAAGTAAAGTTTATTCCAGTAAAGAGACTAAAAATCAGGAGATTCTAGCAGGTAGCTGGGAAAAGCAGAGTTTATCACATCCATGTGTGGATGGGCAGACAATGGGAGAGAGAGACAGTGGCAGCTAGCTGGGAGATTGGCTACACCAGGGAGAGAGATATCAGCAGCTCACTGGGAAAGGAATTAGGCTTCTGTAGGTCTTGAAGGGGCTAAGGAATCTGGGTGAAATATTTCGGACCTGGATACCCAAGGACGGGCTGCTCAGGTGTGTAGACAATTACTGGACTCCTCGGTGAAGGGGGACTATGCTTTACTTTGAGTCCATCTGCCCTATTTACCGAGAAGCTGCTGTTGTTGCTAACAGCAGCCTGTTGCTTCGTCCCATGTGCTTGTGAAGGACTCACTTCTAGGCCTGACACCCAGAGAAACAGAGCTGAATCTTCCAGTAGAAGATCATTTCCTTGATGATGACACACTTAATACAAAAATGGAATTAAAATTTTCCGAGACTTTGGATAATCTTCAAACTTCTCAAGGTACCACCTAAAATAAGAAAATTTAAAGAAAGGAAATCATTTTGTCATTTTAGCCTTTCATAGCCACTAACCAAAGTGGTAATATTTTTTATTATAAATGAATACTGAGATTTTTAAAGGTAGTGGTAAGAACTCTGGCATTTCAAATACAGAGTTTAGTTTTACCAGTGTCATGGATAATTACATATCCTGTAAGCATTATTCAGGCCAAGTAATCCACGGAATTCTCCTTTCTCCTGGGAAGCAACCTGCTGACATGCTCAAAGCACTCACAAGCTCTTTCCACAGCCAGCCATGGACATGGCCCAGCAGGTGTTGCCTGGCCGCTTCCCCAGCCCCATGGAGAACTAACTGCAGCCTGACCGGGGGTCTGCAGAGGCTGCCAGCCAGGCCCTGAGCCCTGGCAGCTGAGGAAGGAGACAGGGTTACCTGGGACAATGCAATGGGTGGCATCTGTAATCCAGTCCCACAACCAAATGGTGCTTTCAGTTTTGAGATAACTGATATGAACAAAGTCACACACATTCATTTTGGGGTAATGGCCAATTGGGAAAGCTGGCAACTAAGCAGGCGGAGTAAAAATTAGAAATAATTTGAGGCCAGGCTCAGTGGAAGGTGACACCTGTAGCCCCAGCTCCTCAGGAGGCTAAGGCAGGAGGGTCACCTAGCCCAGGAGTTCAAGTCTAGCCTGGACAACCAGGTAAGATCCATTTAAAAAAAATTTTTTTTTGGCAAGATGTTAAAATAGAAAAAAAAAAGAGTTTCCATAAGCACAAAATAATGCTAAATCGTGTGCTCGGGACTAAAATACTGTTTAATTGTTTTATTGGTGTTGTCATACAGTCTGTGATAATAAATATTTTTGATGTTTTAACAGAAAGACACTGTGATCTGTTTTCCCATGGAGTTGTTTCTATTATCACTGTATAGTTTCTTTTAATAGTATTTTCTTTCCCTTTTGTCTAATTTTTTGTGCTGCTGAACATTTTAAGTACACTGTTGTTTGTAAATTTTGGCCACTATGGCGAGAGCTATCATCAGGTGTGGTGGGAAAAGTCTGCGAAGAGGGAGGTTATGGAGACTCCTGCACAGGGCCTATGTGACGCTACTAAATGCTGTAGATTGGATTTCACAAAACAGGATATGTAATTTTTCCATCTACTCAGAATATTAATCTGTAAATTTCACAAGTCTAACTTTTATGTACAGTATCACATTTGAAATTATTGTCTTATGTAATTTTTGTCCTAAAAAGATTTGCTTGGAAATCAAAGCTCCGCTTCTACTTAAACGTGTTGGTATGAAAAACACACTAAATCACTAAACAGATGTAAAACCATGATGGGAAACCAACCAGGTATTTGTTAATGTGGCAAAGTGTGAAGCCAGGGCCAGGGATGTAGCTCAGTGGCACCGCGCCTGCCTGGCAAGTGCCAGGTCCTGAGTTCGATCCCCTGAGTTCAATCCCCAGTACCAAAAACCCAAACCAGAAGTGCGAAGCCAACAATCTGCAAATGAAGTGGCACAGCCCTGTCAGCTTTGGGCCAGTTTCACACTGCACCACACTGATGTGGGATTCTCCAGCAGCCTGCCGTGCTTGCTGCCTACGCTGGCCCGGGGCCTCACAAGGCGCAGGAGGAGACCTGTTTTGTAAGTCGGTCAGGGCCTCAGGATCAAGTGTCACCTCCTTGCCCAGCAGTGCCCATTTCGGGGTGGCCATGGCAGCGGGAGGCAGAGCTCGTGCAGGTGTGCAATAGGCCTGAGCTCCCAGCAGCTCCTACTCGGGTGCAGCCACCGTCACAGCTGCAGTCAGGAGGCGGTGCTTCTGCCTGCAGGAGATTGGGGTGCAGCACAGGGCTCCCACAGCGCTCGGGTGCAGGCTCCCTCTGAGGTAGCAAGGAGCTCTTGTGCTGTCAGAATGGTCTCAGTGAGAGAGGAATGCTCTCTAGACAGATTGTTTATTTCACACACCTAGGTATCTCTCCAGGGGAGTCGCAGACATTCTGTCACAGTGGTAAGTGAATTCCACATGCAGCAGCACAGTTCACCACAGCTGCACTTGGGAAGGCTGCTTATTTATGAACAGGTGAATGGATACAGAAAACGTGGGATTTACCTACAGTGGAGCACCATGCTGCCACACAGAAGGAAAAACTAGAGCCGTTTGTAGGAAGATGGATGCACATAGAGGTCACAGTGTTCAGTGAAATAAATCGGACACACAAGCTTCAACACTGCATGGTTTCCCTTACATGAGAAACTCAAAGTATAAATAAATTAAACAGCAAGATGAAAGATACAAGGAGAAAGCAAGGTACATCTCTTGCAAATGGGAAGAGGACGAAGAGCTGGTGTGGGAGGGGTCAAAGAACTGAGATGTGTTGTGCACGTGCGCCAACTCCTCCTGATGAAAGAAGCAGTATATACTGCAAACACAGACTAATAAAAATTAAATATTAGTTGTAGAGGCCATTATATGGAAATAAAATGATAAATGGTAAAATTTTTCTCAATCATTGAAGTCAAAAACCCACCTCAAGAAATGATTTTTGAAGGTGTATATTAGTTTTTTAAAGGGCAGACAGCCTGCTGTCTACTTTTTCTGCCCTAGAACCAGAGGTGCCGTATGTGACGAGGGCCCGCTCCGGGGTTTGCCTCCATCTGAGATCTGATTCCTTGCCCCTCGCTCACCTGTTTGTGGAAAGCCCACTTCCTCACATCCAGATGACACTGAATTCCAGACCTGCTTGGCTCTTCCTGGAGCAGCTATTGTTCCTGTGACTGTTCAGTGTAACATGAGCCTTCCTTCCTTTGTGTCACCAGGGGTCTGAGAGCACTTTTTCTGGGGTTCAGAAATTACACTGTCTGTATTCAAGTCTGATGAGCAGCATGCTGACAGGATAAGGAAGCATTTCATACAGATTCTCAGCTCACTCTCTATTTTCCTAATCAGACTCTGTGAATCAGTGTCTCGAAGATGCACTGAAGCTTTTTGAATGACAATGAACTGGAACAGGTTAGCACTGTGATGGTACTTTGTCCCTTGGGTGAGCTCCTCTGTGGGGGCCTCCGAGTTTAGCACTCAGGCCTGAATAGCAGGTGGCCGTTGCAGACTGCCCTCCTCCTTAGAACTCTGCCCTTAGCAGAGAATGTGTGAGATGCTGCCCATCTCACGTGTCTGACCTTAACTAACAATACAATCGATTATGAACTTAAATACCAGCTGTTATAGAATTTCCTTGTCATGCAATAGTTTTCAGAGTATTACAATAAACGTGGTGAAAGAAGTAGCTCTATGAAGTAGATTTTTGCTTTTGGAATCAATTTATCGACAGGATTTGTTTTGTTTTTCTGAGACAGGGTCTCACTATGTAGCCCAGGCTGGCCTTGAACTCACGGTGATCCTCCTGCCTCAGCATCCGGAGTGCTGGGATCACAGGCATGCACCACACCTGGCATTCAGTGGTATTTATCCAATGGGTGCTATGCTACTACAAACAAGGATAAATCAGAGTCACATGTAGGAGGCGATGCACCTTGGGACCTTGACGCCAGGTGAAACAGGCCTGGTTCTCAGGAAGAGGCTTTCATTTGGAGAGCGGAACTGCATCTTTTCCACTTTTGTTTGCTTCACAGTCAAGTGTTGAGAGGGATTCTCCTGTTCTCTATTTTCCTTCGAGAAAACATCTTGACAACACTCGGCAGGCTCTTGTATCCTTCCCCACCCAATTTTTAAAATTGTCAGTGCTATTTCATTGGTTTTTAGTATTAAGAACAGGCTATTATTTGCTTTTTCACATGAAGAGTTGCAAATACAAAGATCAGTGCCTTCAGGAAGGTGTTGACAGCCACGGGGAGGAGCTCAGACCCCTGGCTGGGGGCTGGTGACCGACAGGGTCTGAGGAGGTTGCAGGCCAGGCCACTGACCCCTTCTGGGTCACGGCAAGCAGGCTGCCCTGCCACTGCTGGGACATAAATCCTGCTTCATTGTGCTCGTTCCCTAGACTTATGCATAGTTGCCATTAGTACTGAACTATATAGTATGTTGTCGGCACTCGACATTAAACTATTAAGTTACTACTGCAGCCAAGCTTCATACAAGGTCACCAGAGAGAAATCTGAGGCCTGTGAAATCAAACTCACTGTTTACTTCCTTAAAGCTCTGCCGGTGTGAAACAGCACACTCTGCTGTGCCTCAGAACAACAACTGGCCCTCTCCCAGAAGCGGGGTGCGGGCGACCTTGTCACTGCCCAGACTCAGGTGACTGCCCCTGATTCAGCACTCCTGGCGGGACCAGGCTGCCTACTGCCTCATGGCCTCATCCCAACTGCGGCAAGCTCTCCCGGGCGCACGCTCAGGCACGGGTAGGGAATGTCGACCTTCGTTCTGCGACACAGCCCAGCCCTGCATGGAGGTGACTCCTGTGGGCTGTGTTCCCCGACACACTCTCTGCTCCGAAACCTCCAACCCTTCTCAGGCCTGGCACTCTGATCTGCCTCTGTCGCCCTGGTCTTCGGCAGACACCAAGCCTGTTGGCACAGTGGAGCACCTGGAGACACAGGGTGCTTGCCTTCCGGTCTCACCTGTGCTCACACCTTAGATGGTGTCGCCATGAATCCTGGCAACCGGGCCTTTTCCTGCTCCATCTCCAAAAATGACCCCTGCACCTCTCAATGCTGGGAGGACACCGAGGTATCCCGACTCTAAAAGGTTTATACTTTTCCCATCTACCATGACATCTGGTTGTCCTGTAGCTTCTAGACTTTGTCCTTTCCCTAAAAGACATGGCAAACTCCGTGAACAGGATGACGATCTACCCCACTGTGGCCCCTAGCATCAGCCCCTTGGTGATTTTTTTTTTTTTTGTACCGGGGATAGAAGTCGGGGCCTTGTGCTTGTGAGGCAGGAGGCGGAACCACTGAGCTGAATTCTGGGCCTCGCCTTGGCGATTTCGATGTCACGTTGGGAGTGATGGAGCCATAGAAACGGTGCAGAGCACTGTCCAGTTCTGGGACTCACCTCGTTGCCACTCACCGTGGCCGGCCTTTACGCTCTTGCTAGAGCTCCATCAGCATCCTCAGATGTTTTTCTTTTTGCAGTAAAGGAGACTGGACCCAGGGCCTTTGCCCTGAGCTACATCCAATCTTTTATTTCTGAGGTAAGATCTTGCTAAGTTCTGAGTTGCCCGGCTCAGCTTGAACTTGTGCTCCTACCTCAGCCTCCCCTAGCGCCGGCATGACGGTGTGTGCCGTCGTGCGTGGCCGGCATCCTCCATTCTAACTGCTGCTTTGACTTCAAGTCTCTGAATCCTCTGCTCGGTGTCAAACGTGACTGTGGACCCCAGGAGCAAACACCCAGAGGCCCAAACATGGTAGAGAAAACCCCTGTGCTGCTGTGGGCCGCCAGCTCCCCCTGCTGGGTTGCACTTCAGCTGGGCTCCTGGGGGTGGTGCTCAGTTCTCGTCTCGCTTGGCTACAGCAAGGCTCGCACTAGGATGGTGCAATTCAGACTTATCTCCGCACCTCAGCACATCTAACCTGAACATTTTTTATGCTAAGGTCAAGGAACCACTGAAGAAGGTTAAATGTGTTTTAAAACTTACCGGTGATGCTGTTTTGCTCTGGGGAGTAAAACGGTCAATGTGAATAGCGCAAAAGCCCCACTCTGCAGAGAGCAGCTGGCCAGTGCAAAGCCGCACCACTCCACAACTTCCCCAAGGTAGTTGGCCGCAGTTATGTATTCGAACAAGCCTCCTAGAGGAAAAGAGCAACACAGCCATTTACTGTGGGACCATGCCAGGGTCCACCACTCAGGGCGGCACAGACATCACCTCAGCTGTGTGAAACGTGGAGGCAGGTGCGTCCCGGAGCCATCTAGGGCAACGTCGAACACCAGAGGCCACGCTCCCTCCCGGGCCCTCCGTGACTTTAGGGGTCTCCCTTTCTCACTCCTGCCTCTGTAGCCACCAGTTTCCTACGCAACTGTCATATTGCCTGTGACTTATCAGCGTCTGGGCAGCCAACTGGGGAGGGGTGGCTCGGCACCCTCCTGTAAAGGCCACTGTCACTCCAGGGCCGGGCCCGAGTGGAGGGGCAGGACAGCTCTGCGGGCATCGTCGGGGACCTTGCCCCCAGGTGCCCAGTGTGGAAGGGAACATCCGGCTGGGGACTGGTGAGTGATTAGCTAAGAAAACCCACAGATGCCACCCTGCTGAGGATGTCACCCAGCACCAGCAGCTTAAGGGCTACCTCTCCTGACCATGTGCTGTGGCTGGCACGAGGGACGGACGCAGAGCCTGTGCCCACCCATGCAGGTGCTTTATCTGGCCTTCACGCAATGCCGATGGGCCCCTTGTCTCTGCACCCGTTGGGCGTTCCTCCTCTATGGATTCTGTGACTTCACCCTTCCGGCCTTGACCAATGACAGCACACCAGTGTCCAGAGTTCTGGCCAGGGCTCCTTAGAACAGCGCACAGTTGCTGGGCTTCACGGAAACGACTGTGTTAGAAAACACTGCCCTGTTTTGGGAGAAGCCTCCTGCAATCAGAGCTCAAAATTCGGTGGTCAGCTCCAAAGCCCCCCAGGACAAGAGTCCTCCAGAGCACGGAGACCACATCGCTGGGCCCTGGAGTCCTCAAAGATACCGGCTGCACCTACACGAGGGACAGCAGGACCCGGGCAAGGTATGGGCCACCTCCAGAATCTGATGAGCCTCCCGCTAGCCGCCCTTGGCCCCAAGGACTTGTGTGACTGCTGTCAATTTTTTAAGTATAATAAGTAGACAGGGATGGCGAACCTTTCGGAGCTTTTAATGATAGCAAGCAGCCCACTGCAGCACGAGTGCCATAGGCTCACCACCACTGGTACAGGGTGTGCTCTTTTCAAAGCTAGACTTGCGTCTAGGCTGGCTTCACAAAACCTTCCCTGAGCTTTTTTTTTGAGGCAGGATCTCCCTGTGTAGCCCAGGCTGGCCTCGAACTCTCCTGCCTCAGCCTCCCAAGTACTGGAAGTATAGGTGCACCACCACACCAGGCATGCACTAAACTGTGAAACCTGTGCTGTTCCAGGGCCTTGGATTTCATCCTCACAGCTACCACGTGCACACGGCAGACCTCCCTTCCCTGCCTCAGTAGCTCTCACTGAGAAAAATCTAGGCCTCACTTTGCTTTTATGTCCTTTTTGCTGCCGTTTGTTTGCTGTCTAACTTAAGGCTTAGAAACAAAGCGTTTTAGCAGCAGCTTCTCCCCCAGGTTTTATGGGTTCCCAGCCTGTCTGTCCCCATCGTCTGGTCTCCTGCTGGACGTACAGCCCCATCTCCGAGCCCAGAGCTGCTGCAGATGCCCACTCCGCCAGGGGCAGTGGGGACAGCAGGGCAAGGAAGCTGCAGGTGTGGGCAACCGACAGCCACAAGCCAGGGGTAGAGGTGCTGCTCTCTGGAGCTCTCAAGGGCACCCACGCTGCTATTGCTTTACTCACACGAAAAACCACAGAGAAAATCTGGCTTCAACTCTCCCCTGCTTTGTAAAATGCTTTTCTGTTCAGACACGTCTTGCTGCTACTTTGTCTTCCTCCATAATGTGTCTGCAATGGTGCTGCGAAACAGCTTTCTTGTTCTGGTTTCAGTTATGCTGGGTTAGAACCCATAGCAGCAGCCAGCAGCAGGAGGTGGAGGGAAAAGGTCAGAGAAGTCCTGCTGGTGCCTCTGTTGCTGTGGTGGGGTGGCCTCCCATGATCTGAAATTCTTCAGGTCATTTAGACTCTTCCTCACAGTGGCAACTTTCTTGTGAGTGCTGCAGCTTGTGTGTGTCCCCTACGCTGGGAAATGAGATCTACGAGGTCCACGAACCCCAAGTAGAAGGCAGGTGCCTCTCGGGGCTGCGGGCCCAGCTGCCTGGGCACAGGAACACACCCTACTCCCACCCAGGACAACCTGGGATTAAGGCAAGCACTAGGGATCTTCAGACCAGCCCGGGGCTGGGACTGCAGGCTCAATGGGTGTGGCCACTGAAGATTCTAGCACTCAGATTTGTTCCTCCAATGATGACTTCCTTTCTCGACAGAGCAATGCATTTAGAAAGGGTTTTATGTAGTCTCTAGAGGAGGGTCTGTCAGGGAGTCAATTCCATCACATTGTGGGCAGCACAAGTATCAGACCCTGGTGAACCGTGAGCTCTTCCTCATCTTGTCTCCAATCCCAAACATTCCATTTTGCTTCACAACCATCTCCTTACCCAGAATCCGTTTTGATTTTCTAAAAAGAATTGAATCATGGAAGTGATGCACTGCAAACCTGCGGCTATGAACCCCGTGCTGAGTTATTAGGGCGTTAAGGCTAAGACAGCAGGGCACATGCGGGGAGACTGAGATGAAGCCCCTCTTGGACACACCCCTTGGTATTTTGTATCCTGTCTCCTCTGGTTTTCGGAGGTTCCTCAGGATGTGATCTGACTGGATGTTTATCAGCATGCCCGTTAACCACAAGGCAAAACCTGAGAGAAAAAAGATGAGATTACCATGGTAAGGACCACGAGATTTCAGAATCTACGAGGACGGAACAGGTGCCCCAGTCCAGGCCTCCTGATCATCCTCAGTGTACCATGCACCAGCTGTAGCTGTGAGGAGACCCCAGGCACTGTCCGTGGTGCGACACTAGTAGGCTTTGCCTTCCTGATGATGCTCATGAATTAGACAACCACCGAACACGCTTAGCCCTGCCAGCCCCAGTCGATTTCCGGGATCAGAAATGGCCAGGAGCCTTGGGCACAGGTGTTCTCTGCATCAGGAGCCAGCCAGCCGGTGTGCTTGACTACTCTTCCTTACAGAGGCTGCACCTCCCAGAGGAGGGAAGGTGAAGGGTCCGCACCTGCCCACCGTCACTAACGGGCCCAGGTCTGTACCTCTTTGCTCCTTTCCTACTCTTAGGTATTTCAGGGCCCCAGAGAGCAGGCCCCCTCCTCCCCTTTCCCCCTGCCCTACTCCAGCAAGGGAGAACAGGGAACTTCCGTGTAACTAAGGCCTGACCTCCCTTTATTAGTGACTCTGCCTAGTTAAGGACTTTCTGCCCCACCGGTTTCATGGCCAGATGTTCCCGTAAGACAGGGGCTTCCTGGAAACTTACTCCATCCCCACCAACCGAAACCTGTTGCTACATACCCCAGCCCCAATCCCCCACCCCCACCAATGGACCAGTGCTCTCCCACTGAAAAACCCTATACAAGCCTCCAGCTCAGCCCATGCAGTCGCTGGTCTCCATTCTGTGAGTCAGCCCAGCAGGCTGCAGACTGCCGCCCCAATAAAGCTTGCTTGAATGTCTGTGTGTGCCCCTTCCTTTCAGCAATGCTTTCACCTACAACTACCTGCGAATCACTTAGCATACTGCCCCTGGCTTCCCAGCCCTAAGTTCCTGCTATGTCACCCATCTGCATTCCTGGGCCACTCACTTCTCCCTCCTCTGCTCCATTCCCTCCCTTGACACCCTCTCCCCATTCTTTCAATGTTCAGAAGTTTTCATCACTTAAATACTTCTCAGTATTACATCATGTAATACCAACAAGACGAGGCAACGTTCTACAAAAGCAGTAACTCTGATTTTAAAAAGGGAAGGGCTAAAATAAATAAATAAATAAATAAATAAATTTAAAAAGGGGAAGGGCTAAGGATTTAGCTCAGAAGTTCAGAGTTCAATCCCTGATACCAAAAAAACCCCAAAAAACTCAGTTGCAATGATTTTAAAAAGAGGTTGACTTGAGTTTTCTGATATACTGAAGTGTGACAGGCTGACAGTCCTGAAGAAATGTACACCTGGGTGGCATCCTGTCCATTCCACTTGGTCCAGTGAAGCGGCATGCTCTTGCTGTTAGAACAAGGAAAACCTTGTCGCCTACAGAAAGTGTTTCAAGAGTTCCTCCTTTGGATTTCGCCACTGTAAGTAGCTTTCTTTCCCAAGCAGTTTATACTAAATGTTGTAATACTTTTTATAAGTCACTTATTGGATTTGTGAGTTTATAATACATTCCCCATTTTGGATTTCAGTAAGTCGCTCCTCGGTGATTTGGCTTCCAATCCAAGGTTCTAGAAAGAACCATGCTAAATTCTGTGGTTACTTTGTATCTATGATTCCCCTTTGTCAAGGAGTCTGGAAGTAAATGAGTCTTCGTGAGAGGAGAGCGGGCAGCTCTTCCTCGCCCTCCTGAGGGCCCTGACCCAGCACCCACCCCAGGAACTCCCTTCGCCACGCCCCAGGCTCCTACACAGCTGCAGCGGAGCCCACCCAGGACTCACTGAGTGGGACTCCCTGGAGTCACTCTCCAATCTGCACTCTTCCCCCAGCAGCAGAGTTCAGTAGTGAGGAGGGGGAGGGAGAGGCGAGGGAGAGGTGATGGGGAGGCGAGGGCTGGAGAGACACAGGGCCCCAGGGCTGCGCCTCTTTGCAGCACAGCAGCGCAGAGCAGAATGAGGCCACTCTGGGCCACAGCTGCCCAGAAGTGCTTCCTGGCAGTCTGCAAATCCCATCAAAGGGACCCAGTGGAGGCACAGCATGCACCGCAACGGCCCTGCCCTTTGCTGGCCATCAATGTTTTGCTTCTGGCCTGGAAGGCGAAACTTCCACCAGTGTGGAAATCCTAACTGCCAAGCAGCTGGAGTATTTCTGCAATTACATGCTTGATGCAAAGCCCACAGAAACTTCAGACATTCAGCATTTAAATTATGAACAGAACACGAGTGATGCCATGGCAATTCTGCACAAACGGCAACCGGGCCTGGGCGGACTGCGAGGCCCATGGTGCCCGCGTGTTAGAGGGCAGTGTTCCACCTGCTCGACACTCCTGTGCAGCAGGGCGGCCGGAGGATGCTCACACTGTGAGGGCCACGAGAGCTGCACCCACAGCCAGAGGGGAGACATCACTTTCTGGAAGCAGCTGGACAACAGCCAGCTGGTCAGCACAGGCTTCACAGCCAAGCAGGCTCTGAACAATACAGCCACTCATCCACCTGACCACCACCATTCGGGAAGGAGCACTCTGGGTGCTTTTGGAACAATCATTTTAGCACCATGACCAAACACAAGGGTCAACTTATTTGATGTTGACAGCCCAGGGGCTTCTGACCGGAAAGTCTACACCTTGTAGACAGTGACAAACGTCTGTGACTCAACAATCTCATCTGAGGCCTCCTTCAGACCCTGAAACCGTGCACAAAGAACAGGATCAGACAGCATTACGGCATTGTCTCTGCAACAGCAGAATGAAGACATCAACTGGGGACAGATCCTGGAAGGAAGCAGTGATTTGGAGACAGCAGAGAAACTCCAAAGAGAAGACAGACAAGCTTCAGTTCTGCCAGGAACAGAACAAGCGGGGGCACAAGCCTCTCCATCAAGTGGAAGACACTCTAACGATGAGGAGAGGAACCTGAGAAAAAGACACAGACCAGGAAAAAGGCAGCTGTGCCATGCTGTAACAAGTACTGGATTCTGATGGAACCTTCTACACAAAGTCCTGAGGAACAAAACCACAACAGGTAAGGAAGAACAACCTAAATAGGCTGTGCCTGATTTCCCAACGGATTTTGTTCCTGTTTTTTCAGCAGAAAGGTTGTTACTGTTACAATCAGACTTTGCAAGTCACACAACGCTGCATGAGTGCGAGTTTCACGTTACCAGGTGGAAATGCTGTGTGTTGTCCTGAGAAAAGCGCAGCAAATTTTGGGTCACAGTGACATTCATAGCTCCTATCAGCAAGCTATTTTATCTTCCGTTCTAACAATAAATGGAGGTAATTTACTCAGTTTCCTTCCTGAAAGTTAAATACTGGCACAACAGTTTCTGAAATTTTTATAATGTTAAAATTATGATTGAATCCACGAAAAACCAAGGTTTAATATAGGGATTAAAAACAAAAAAGGCAAAGGCCTCGCAAGAGCAAAGTCCTGAGTTCGATCCCCTGGACAAAAAAAAAAAAGCAGGAATCAAATCCTTAATCGTATATTAGACCAGTTCAGCCCTTGAACACCTTTACCTTTAGTAATGTACATTTTAGACATTATCTTGAGAACTGAGAATGGAGCTTCGATTTCATTTAGACAGAAAAAGTAGATTTGTATTTTTTTGCCAATAGCAAAAATTGACATAACACTAATACTTCCAACCTATCCACATGCGATCGTAATGACTTTGTAGTGTTGGGAAGCTGTGAAGCATCCGGACTTTTCCGAGTTCTTCTAGGTAAGCTGGCTGCTAATAATGCAGGGAGTGAGCTCAGAAGGAAACCACACTGGGTGTGAGGCCCCGTACGTGTGTGGAGGGAAGCTCACAGCTTAGTGTCGCGCTTCTTCCAGAATTATCTTGTGAACCTTATATTTCAAATCATGTTTATTGCTAGGAGATTAAGTATACTTACTAAAGCCAACAAAAAAGCACATTGCTAAGAAAGTTGGAGATAATCTCAGAGCGCAGTGAAAGACAATAAAAATCTGAGCGTAGACGAGTTTGGAAGAATTTATGTAAAAGCAATCAGATTTTTTAACTTATGAAAAGCAAATAAATCTAAAGCATCTTACAGTGTTTATAGGATTCAGAAAGAATATTTAACTTTATTATGAGGCAACACATATTTTTCTGTATTTCTAAACTGTTTTGGAAACTATCCTTAATAGTCCTTTATATGTACTTTATATTTAAAATGTTTTAGTCATTTTGAAAAGACTTGCTGCTGTCATTATTGTGTGCTCCCCATTCTTAGCCTCAGAAAATGTGCTTATTTAAGAAGACCGTAATCTGATCTGAGCATCTTTCTTGTGCTCTGGGATGACAAAGGCTAGAAAAAAATATGGCCTAGACCTAGCATTTTTACAGCTATGTTATTAACTTCTCTAAACCCAGTTAGGAGTCTATATGTAAAAAGTAAGGTTTTGTTTATAGAAGGAATTACTCTTAAGGAAAAAACACATCTAGGGCCAAGCTGTCTTTTCTACCCTTCCATGTCGCATGTCTGTTTATGTTACATAATTTGTTATTCCTTCAAATTTCCGGTGCTAGCACGATAACTCAGCAGAGAACCTGTTTGGGGTATCAAGTTAGACACAAAATATTTGGTGAGTCTCTTATAGCCTAAAATATGTGCTGGCAAAATGTGCTACACAACTTTGGCTCCAGCAGTGACCTTCCCAGGTTTACTCTCCCTCCAAAGCGCCCCGTCATCTCCAGGAAAAACAAGGCTCTGGGCTTGTTCTTCCCACAAGTAGCAGTGCCACTACATTACATCTCAAAAATAAAAAGCACAGGACACCTTGAATAAAACACACTGGAGGTATACTTTTTCCCAGAATTATATGCTTATGTATTTGGCCCTTTAAGAATATATGTGAAATTATTCTTGTTATTTTCTGTCTTCTTTATTTGTTCCGAAGATAATACTCCCATTCTGCATTCCCTCTAGAAAGCAGAGGAAAAACAAAAACAAAAACACTCAAAACCAGCAAGCCTGTTATC